AGGTCACTGATGGCACAGATTCATTATGGTACACACACAACCCTTGGAAAGCTCAGACACCGAAGACGCTGCGACCGAGAAGGCTATCACTGGAAAGGAAAGGCCCGTCAAGAAGGATGAGGCAAAGGTGACTGGCCCACTATTCTGCGACTGAGATAGAAGGAATGGTAGAGGTTACGTGGACAGATTATCCAGCAAACAACAGGGATCATCTGATGAGTATCGCACCTCTTGATGAGAAGGGGCGCGCTATTTCGAACTGAGGTTGGAGAACTATGCTGGATGAACTGAGTAGTTCAGCCGTTCCACCCTATTTTTTTTTTCACCCTGGAAAACAGAGAAAATGGAATAGAATAAACCAAACGGCACACCACCGAATAAACAGAGTATGAAACAGTCAAAGTTTGCACTTACCACGTAGGCACAAGAAAAAGTACGCACGAAAGCAAGTAACCGGACACCAAACAATATGCTGATCTCAAATTCCAACGCCGAGGTAGGAAAGAGAGGCCTTGTGAGTCCGTATAGATAACAAGTTCGAAATCGGATACTACCGCCAACACTTGACACTTGCCGCATCGACACAGAAGTCACAGAACTAACTAACCAAGAGTGACGAATGACAAATGACACGGATTCCATTTTTTTATCTCTGTCTATGATAATCCAAGAACATGGAAACCTAGAGAACCACCATGTCTCACCGCAGTTAACATTGCCACAGACAATGCCAACATAAGCTTCCCTAACCATAGCCTTAATGTTCCGGTGTTGTCAACTTGTCCTACCCATATATCAAACAGACGTAACGATGGACTTGTAATGGATGTGATGAATGTAGTCACGATTCCACAGAACCACGTTACAGTAGCCGCCGCACGCAGCCAGCAGCCCACCCCCAGCAGCCGAACCCCGACAGCCGACCCCCGGCAGCAGACTCCCGGCAGCTACTGCCGGCAGCCACCCAGCGGATGATATCTGCGTCAGTCGTCAGGCAACACCGCAACTGAAAGCCGACGGTTGCGGAGAATACGTGCAGAAGGCAGGACCGGAGTTAAAATGTTGTGTGTACCAAGGGAACATTCAAGTACCGGGTACAAGAAATATGTGCGATAGAGTAGGGATTTGTATTATATTCATGGACATTAATTAATAGTAGCTACATTATATAATTGCAGGTATAGACTTAATACTTTTGCAGGTATAGATTATATATAGTTGCAGGTATATAGATTCTCATTTTTTTGCATATGTCGGGATGGAAATTTATAAAACTGGAGGCCAGTTTTCTCGAGGGGGAGGCATATGTCAAGAAGGGCACTTTTTCGGGTGAAAAACAAATTGAATAAAACATCAAGATTTTTCATATTTCAAATTCATATTCAATATTCTTATTATAAAATCATTTTCATAAACAAAACATTGCTACCTTCAAGTCTATAGAGAATATGGGTCAGCACCAGTAAACAATAAATATTCAATAAGTATGTCATTGCCAAAACTAGAAACGAGAACATCGTTGGATGATAATGGAATGCGAAACTGCTGATTCAGGAAGAGATAGACTTTGAGCTGGCATGAGAATTGATAGGGAGATCTTCGGAGATAGGCACAGTTGTTAGTCCGCGAGGCGAGGGTGAGGATAGCTGCTGAGTTAAGTAGACCGCACATCTTGAGTTTTAGTGAGTGCCCTTTTTGTCTTGCGGGTTATTTTTGACCATTAGAGCTTTCGCGTTGCCTCCTCGAGAGAACTGCCAATCATGTTGGATATTTTATTAAGGTAAGAGAATTTTGTGTTCTACTGGGCGTTGTATATATTTTTGTTGCCGATTTGTTTCTCCAGGAAAATCTAATAAAATTCCCTGATTTATAAAAGCCTGTGGTTGATTCACTGAATAGTGGTTATCCTGAGTAGATAAGATAAAAGCCTCCTAAGATCAGCCCATCAGGCGGAAAGGGTTTAGCTGTTCCTTACTGAGTACGTCCCAAGCGACGGGGGTTGATCCTCTATTAGCCCCGTACGCGACAATATTTTCAAGGTTTGTGGAGGACCAGTAACCTGGGCTAGTCAAAAACAGCATAGTGTATGTTTATCGACTACGGAAGCTGAATATGTCGCAGCTTCCAATGCATCTAAAGAAGCTATTTGGTTGCGGCGATTATTGGAAGATATTGGAGAAAATATGAACAGGCCCACAGTATTGTACATCGATAATCAAAGTGCTATACGTCTCATCAACAATCCTGAATTTCACAAACGTACCAAACACATAGACATACGTTTTCATTTCATTAGAGAAAGAGTGAGGAATTGTGAAATTCTACCGATGTACGTACCAAGTAGAGAACAGGAAGCAGATATATTAACGAAGCCGTTACCTGCAAGTATTTTTGAAGAACAAAGAAAACTGATTGGTATATGTTCCAGGAAATGAAAGGAATATATTCATATCATTTTTCAATTATTGTAAACACTCAATTAGTGGGAGTGTTGAGTTTATTATAATTTCATGTTTAATCATGTACTCTGTATATTATCATTACCTTTATGTCATGTATCTAGAGTGCAAATATTCTGGTTGTTATTGGAAAAACAATTATTATTGATTAAAATAATTTGTCAACGATAAGTCACATCTTGATCATTCTCTGAACTTCATTCTTCAAGTAGAAGAATAATAGATCCACCGCAGTGCCTCTCAACACTAACTCATTACCTCCAGAACAACCAGCCCGCTCCCAACCACAATCCAGGGATGCCATCATCACATCTCAGAATCAGAATCCTGATGTATAGAAAATACAAAACCAGGTGCGGAAGACTTGTTATCAAGCCGGTTCGCTTTGATACTTGAGGGGAGAGATGTTGCATGAGCCACCCGTGTTACGTGACAGTAAGAAAGAGATACTGACAGGGGAGTGACATTATGAAGATTTGAGTAGTAGAGTGATTCGCTTTAGATTGTTCTTGGCACATGTATTAATAAAGATTCTACATAACATAATAATTATAAACTCATAAACAGAATACCTCCACACGGTTTGTTTACCCTCCAAGCGTTCGACCTTCAACGTTGTGACGTCAGCCGCAGATGGTATCGATTGAAATGCTTAACGTATCTTAGTATCGATATATCGATACTTAGTATCGATGCTTTCCAACCTCTTGCCTGTCCTGTAGGCCGGTTTACAAGCGTCTATAAACACCGGAGGCTCTCTGCATCCGATGATGTCCGATCATGGTCGGACGTCGCCGCTGATGCAGAGCACGCGCCAAATTTAAAAACATAATGATAATCCAAGAGTATCAAGTGATCGAGTGTAATGTTTTGGAAAAATTATGCAAAGTATTTTTTTTTCCGAATGAGATGCGTATATTGCGAGAGCTAAACATTCCAAAGGCCTCACATGTTTTTTTTTTATATCAGGACAAAATTGACACAATAAACACAACTTATTTACTTATTAATATTTTTTTTGGTGGATACATCAGATTTATTGCGATATTATCGGCGTCCATATCATCTGGATGGATTAATTTATTACTAAATAAGTCGTTTATTATAGGAACAGCTATTTTGATTGTTCCGTATAAACGTCTCTGTTGAGTAACTTTTTTATTTTGATGCGTTTCAGATGGTAACTTGTCGGAAAATGACATACTGGTTTTCTCTCTCCTCATCGCTATAAATGTGACTATACTATCAACGAGTTTAATAAGCTCTAGTTTGAATTTTTCTTTTTCGGAATTCTATTCATTGGTTTCTCTTTTTTCTTTACCAATTTTTAATGCTTCCAGAATCTTCTGCTGGTCAGAAAATCACAATCAAAGCTCTCGTTGATTATTGAATTTCTCTCATCTATAGGAAAGAATGAAAAGGTTGAATATAGAGGTACCTACCTATACTTATAATAGTTAATGTTGAAATGTCTGCACATCTAAAAACGCCTACATCCTACATGAGGCCTAACCAAGCAAAATACCTGAAAAAAACCTATTCATTCTTTTAGGCTTGCAAGTAATTCGATTATTCGATGTAATGTTATTCATGTGCTAGGTACGCACATCTTGAAAACTTGCAAATTGTGGATACTTGGGCCTGTACAGGCCCCAATATTCTGACATATTTTTCGACTCAGAATAGATATAATGAGCTAACAATAATGCATACAAGGTGACCCTTGACCCATCAATAACCTGACATAAGGGTGTAATTGATAAAATACAGGGTGTATCTTAAATGATAACTTTCAGGTGGTGATTCCTTGTCATATTTCATGACAAAAAGTTACTATAAACGTGTGTCCTAACTTGCTCCGTTTCCGAGTAACGGGGTGTCAAAATTTTAATGAAAAAGAAAAAAGTAACAGAGAAGCACAGACATTGATTGCATAACGATAACGTTTTGCTATTAATTTCCAATAATATCAAACTCAGCAAAATCAGCGTACAATAGTTACTACAGTGAATATCACACACCACTGGAAACAAAATTCAAAATCTACTTCCATGAAAAGAAGCTATTACAAATCACAAACACACGAAGTTTAATCAAAATCGGCGAACAGTATTTTGAGTAATTCATGAAAAACCGATATTTAATTCAACTTTGGACACCCCGTTACTCGGAAACGGAGCAAATTAGGACACACGTTTATATGAACTTTTTGTCATGAAATATGACAAGGAATTACCACCTGAAATTAAACTCATCATTTAAGATACACCCTGTATAATGATAGTTCTAGCTACGACGTTGTAAAACGATTGATTACAAATAGGGCACCAAGTCATTCTGGATTTCTGGTAAAGAAGCAAACAATTCGAAAAAATAGTGAAAATACAATGCCAAAATCCATTCATACATACAATAACCACAAATAATAAGAAGTAGCTGGGTGAAAATCAAACGCGCGCGAAAGGCAGCTGCGAATGATCCGAAGGTGATCGGACATCATCGGATGCGGAGAGCCTTCGGTGTTTATAGACGCTTGTTTATTTTATCAGTTTTATGAGCTCAGCTAGCGCGGGTCTCATGGTTAATAAAAATTAATAATATCTTTTAACTTTCATAATAGTGAATTTATTTTTAATACTTCTCTCGATACAAAAAGTTACTTGAAGTTTATTAGCCCTTATTTAATATGTCGAAGGCGCATTTCAAAGTTGGTAAGTTTTCTTGGGATGGTGAGGTGAGGTTATCTATCTCGACAACCGGTTGGTCATCGGGGCCCTAGGCTCGGGTCTGTGTGGGACTAGTGTAATGTCCAAATCTATCATCTGTTGAAGTGTCTGATGATGAAAAAAAAACTCGATATCTTCATCTTCCAGTCACAAAAATTACGTTCCTACCACTTCATTTATACACATGTATAATGTCACAGGGTGTTCAGAAAGTCTTGAGCATAAGAAAATCCTAGTAACTACTGCTGGAAAATTTCTAGAATGTCTGGAAACACCTGAGAGAAACGAATGAGAATTTAATGTCATGTTTCAATTAGTGTTTCAATGAATACAAGAAATGACAAAAAGTGAATTTGTACATCAGACATTTTCCAAATAGATTTGTTTCAGTTACTTCTGGATATGTACCATGTAATTCCTCAGGGACCCTGTAGATACATTGAATTTAAATAATATTTTTTCAGCTGATATAAAATTAGCTGATTGGGGTAGGAAAGAAATCATCTTAGCAGAAAATGAGATGCCAGGATTGATGAGTTTACGTAGAAGATACAAAGACAATAAAATCCTGAAAGGAGCCAGAATTGCTGGATGTCTTCATATGACTGTACAAACTGCAGTGTTGATTGAAACTCTTACAGAATTAGGAGCAGAGGTATGACAATTTTATCAAGCATTTTCATGTGTTGGATTTTGGATTCATACACTCAACCAAACTAATAATTACCAATTGAATTGAAAATATTTGGAAATTGATTGGTCTATTTGAATTATTCATCAAATCAGCTTCATGGATTCTCAAATTAATTGTTGATTCTTAGTTTAGTTCAGTTTATAAATCCACCATTATGTTGAAAGGTAGCAAAGGAAACATAACTGCAGGATAAAGTTATTCCAACAAAAGTATTCATGGTTTTATAAGTGATATTTTTCTGTACATTTTTCTCAGAAATAGGTAGATGGCTCAGTACTACAAAAAAATGCTGACAGTGAAATTGATAACAGTTTTCAGTGAACTAAAGATGTTGACATTCATTATTAGAGAATATTCACTAGTTTCAAGGAGCACTAGGTATGAAATTTAAATTTCCATCTCATGGAGATTATGGAGTGTTTGCCTGTAGATACAAAAAAACTGAGCTTGGCCTGTATCTGGTCACTGGATGTAATGATTAATATCTGCCAAGTTACATTGGATTTTCCAAAATTTATTTCCTATGAAATTCTCTGTAAAATTCACACTTGTTTTTATAGGGACTTTAAAATTCACCAGAAGATTCATATAGTGGTTTTTATATGAATAAACCAGTCTTATAAAAGTATAAGATTTGATTCTTGAAAATATCAGTACAGTTTCTTTACATATTATAATTAGATGTATTCAAAAAATACCCCCAATTGAAATACAAAAATTTGTGACTAATCAGGGTTGCTGTTGCTGATGAATAATCATTCTCTATTGATTGAAGTGAATGAAATTGTCTTCACTTGATACTCCTCTACTCCTCATATGGAAAGTTGGCAAAACTTCATTATTTCAAATGGAATAATTTATGCCTACAAACATAGGTACATCATTTTCATATTTTTGAATTTCAAATTCAGTGTCAACAGAGGTGTCAACCACGTGTCAACCTATGTAGCATGATGTATGCCTGAAATTCTATGAGATACTATTCTGAAGTGATTGACTATTAACTATATCTGCATAATAAATCCCTAGCCTAGCATTGAGTTTCTTGGGACATTCATAAATGCAAAATACCATTGTATTGTTATAATAATTTTGTTGGAATAAATAAAGTAAATGATAACCAAAACGGAAAATAATGAGAAAATTGAACTTGTAAAAGGCCGTTTGAGACCTCAGAAGTCAGAATTTTGCCAGGGTAAATGTCAAGTGCATATTTTGACCCATTCCATGTCTACAACAATATATAGGGTGTCACTGAAAGGTATCCACAATAACCTACCTATGACATGTTCTCCTAATCCAAATAATTTGATTTAGGATTCTAAAGTGTATTGAATTATAATTAAAACATAATAGTAAGTTTTTTTTTCACTTAGTTGATTACCTTCTGTAGTTGGAAACTAACACAACAATGAGTTGTTGAGAACACTTTTTTTTCAAATAGCAAGATCTGTTACACATCCACTTTCAAGATATTGATTTCCACATTGAATCCCTCAATGATTTCAAATTTTATTTTTTAAGTGAAAATCGGATTGATTATAATTATAATACAAAAATTATATTATTCCTTGAAAATCGATGAGAACTTTGTTGTAATTCACTTATCAGGTATGTGGTGAATGCAAAAATTTCGATTTTCCTAAGTTTTCAAGTATGATGGGTACTCAACTAAGTTTATTAGATTAGTTGGAGTGCATTCAACACCTGAACATTATAGGGATTCCCTTTCGTGCTCTTCAAGCAATAAAAAAAAAATATAAATTATAATTCAATATGGTGGCTCCTTCAGTACCATGAATTTCTATTAACATTTTCTCATTTCTCGATTTTTTCAAAAAAGTGGTTTCTTTGAAATTATAACAGATTTCAATATCTTTGTTATCTTCCATTTCAATGGTGTGGAAACAAAAACAAAATAGATAGTATTGAAAAAATATTTCTTATATAATGATAACCAGCAAAGAAATACTTGGCATGCTTCAAATGTCTTGCATCACAAAATTTCGAATTATTGTTATCTGACATGAAAGGTTATCTTGATTTATCTATATAGTTGGGTAAATTGTTTTCTTTTTGTTTTTAATCATCATTTCGATTGTCGTTCATGGTACAGAACAACTGTTCTTTACAGTAATATATAGGGTTGATTTTTCTCAGTTTGCTGTTAAACTTCTGGTATATGTTTCACAGTGCCTCAAAAATATTCTGGTATTATCAGTGATATCGAATTTATTCCATGCATTGTATACAATATTATATCATTAAGCTACAGTGTGTCCATGATTAGGACTTACCACTACTGTAAAATCGTTATTACCCGATCGATTTAAAAAAAACTTTTTGTTGGTTAGGTATTTGAAATGTCCATAAAAAAAAGTGGGGGGGGGGGGTTATTTTTCGACTGTTATTGTGGTCAACAACTGCAATCAATTTCATTGACCCATGTACTGATTTTCATCATGAAAAAACACAGGGTGTCCGAAAAAACATTATTATTGTTGTTTAATATGTGATCAGAAAATGTAGTACTGTGGTATTTTTGGGAAGAACTAATAACAAATTATTATTGAGGGCTACTTCAAACACATCTGTACCGATTTTGAATCATTCAAATATAAAATGTGTCTGAGAAAAAAATTGAAATAGATGAATAGTCAATATTTTTTATCAATTAAAAAATATTATGATTAGTTTTTTGGGACACCCTGTGATTGATGATGATGAAAAATCGGTATAGGTATGTTTCAATAAGTGATCCTGCTTGATGGCTCAGAATTCGGTACACCACTATGGCATACACGGAGAAAAATGTATGGTTGATTTCACACATCCCTCTTCAACCTACATTAAAGCAGCATGCTTGCACTATTCGCAGATATGGTACAAGTATTTCTGTGGCATATTCATAATGAGAAAGATACTCAATAACTGACCAATTTGGCATAACAGATTATTGTTGCTGAGTCCAATAATGAAACTATAAAAAATAAGAATAATTTTGATCATTTATATTTGATCAAGTGAAGTAGAGTGCTTGAACCAGAGATTAACCCATCTATGAAAAAATAATTCCGTCATGTATTCATGGGGTTGCATGGAAGAGCAACGATGTTGAATGTCCCTCCATTTACAATTTGTTCATTGTATCAATGGTTTGGATGAAATAAACACCCATTATTATTATTGTTATTATTATTATTTATGGCGACGCCGCACATGCGCATACAAATTGGGTTCTGGCGGGAGGACTAGCTTTGGCATCTGTATTTTTGGATAATCTGTGATATTACTGCAAGATGGCATTTTCATGTTTGAAATTCGAAGTTTCTATTTACAGAAACCATCGACTTATTTTTCTGTCATTATCATCGAAATACAATCGATCTTCTTCAATCAAGCCATTCAGAAAACAAAATAGTATATTATGTAACAAGTGTTAAAAACGTCCTTTTAGTAAGGAGTAGTTAGCACGAGCGGAGCAGAGCGGAGCGAGTGTTTAATAAACGAGTGTCTAGAAGAGTTTATAAACGCGTAACATACTATGATTTTTCTACCAACTCCGAAAATTACATTAATATACCTGCAATTCCTGCTAACCTACAAAATAATTCGAAAGGAATGGGAATTGAGAACATAATACATGCAACTGCATACAACCAGCGAGACACGTATAAGTGATATTGGTTGTAGATGTGTCCAGTCCATTGCTTACTAACCTTTGTTTCACGTTTATTGTCATGCTTAGCGCAGAATAAATAAATTGTTCTCAAAGATGGATGCTTAATTTTTACACTTCTTGAAGATATGCAAGTACCAGAACATTCTCTTCGATTTCACTTTCGTCTACTTTTCGCATATATTTTTAATGGAGAATTCTGATACAAACGAATATTGTTTGAATAATTCTGATACAAAATTCAAAAAAAAAAAAAAACAGTTGACAGTTAATACAATTGACAGGCCAGACATGTCTCAAATTAATGAAGCTGTGTTTAATGAAGTTTTTTTTTTTTTTTTTTTTTTTTTTTTTTTTTTTTTTTTTTTTTTTTAACACCTTGGTAGTAAAAAAATTGCTGTATCCAATTTTGTCGAATTAAAACTGGGTACATGGGTATGAAATTACAATTCAGTCCACTTTTTTCCTCTTCATAGTATTTTTGTCTTCAATTTGCCGTCACAACAGTGATCACGTGACACCTGTCAAAATCTATTTTTCGTGCAATCGCATGCGAACAGAATTTCCTCGACACAGTGTGCAAAATGAAATTTCGCGGCCGTTAGACGTGTCTTCCGAATTTGACGTTTATAAAATACGACAATAACAAGGTTATTATCAGTAACGGGATTTATTTTGTATATATTCAAACATGACATTTCCATAGCAACGCTGTGACTTTGTTAATCAAATTGAACTGCTGATGATTTTGAAGCAGTAATATATGTTTTCTACCCCCTTATTACAATACTCGAATCAAATATCTGCTAACGATTCATTAATATTGGTAGTTTCAACACTAATTCTCATTATGAAACAGATATGGCAAATGATAACACGTACTTTTCATTATGAAACGAATTTTCGGACTACAGTAACACGTACTTGGGTATGATCAAGTGGGTTTATGTTTCTACCTCTTGTCCCTATCCTCCCTAGGAACGCACGATGTTCTTTGAACATTATAGGGATTCCCTTTCGTTCGCTCCAAGCGATAAAAAAAAAATTGACATTCAATGATAACGCGTCAAAGGCAAAGGACTGAAGATGTTTTAATATCCCGAAATATAAATATTTGGGAATAAAATGATGTTCTCATTTTATTATTTATCACTTGTAGTTTTTAGAAGAAATATTATATGCATCGATCATGTTATGGTCATGTTGATGCATAATATATCACGAAAAATAATGTGCATACCATACCATTGCCGTGGCACTTTATACAGACCTCAAGATTATC